ACCGTTGTTGTCCTGCCAATCCGACTTGATTCCGGCACTGTTAGACCAATTCAAGCCACCGTTATCTTCCCTTTAACCTCCTTTTCAAACCCCCACCCACCCTTTCTCGCCAACACTCACCAATTGATGACCATCACCCTTTGTTTGTTCGCGTGCTTCAAGCAAAATTTTGATCGCTCTCAACGTTGGAAATCAACCCCATCACCACCAATAGCTTCACCGGCATCCCACCTCAAAAACCCCTAACAGCCATGATCTTGGTTGCCCGTCGTTCGTCGTCTATCACTTCCCTTAGGGTTTTGCAATTTTGATGAAAATTGGGTTTAATTGAGTTGATTCAAGGTTTTGCAAGGAGCTTGTGGGTTTGTGATTGATTGGAGGTTGATTGTGCTTGATTTGGAGTGTTTTTGTGTTGTTTTTTGGTTGGATTGATTTTGGGTGGTTTGAATGGGGGGGTTTGGTCAATTGTGGTGGTGGTTTGGCCGGAATGGGAGGCATGAAGACGGGAGGTATCATCTGCGTATGTTTCAGAACCCAACAATCACTAACGATGTTAATTTAATGGTGGAATGGAATTATGAAACCAGTGGTGGGAACTTGCCATTTCACTAACCTTGGGTGGGAACATGTCATTGTTCTAAATCATATAGAAAGTTTAAATCTACATTATGGGTGCGTTTGGATCGGGGTCATATAAGTTAACGGGGTAATCTTGTTTATTTTGCAAAATTCTGTTATTTGGTTTGCAAATAATAAAATATTACGATATTTTTATTGTAAATATTTTTACTATTGGTAATGTAGAGTAATCAAATATCCTTCCCAGAGGTTATATTAAAGATTACCGAGATAATGGATTTTTATACCTATGTTGCTCTTAATTAATACCATTTCGGGCACAATTGCCTGAAATGTCTATCAAAAACAATTACCTAACCCCTTTATATTTGAGAAAATAGCTAAAACACCCCAGTCAAAAAATTTAGAAGTTAACAAAATACCCCCAGCAAACTCAAGATGGTCCGACAAGTCACGATAACACAGTAACAGCGCATGACCAATGTGCTGGCTTATGTGCACCGGTAAAGCCATTTCATCCATGGCTGGAAACGACTGGATCTACGATCTAGGTCGAAAACATTATATAATTCAATCACACCCTATAAGATAATCAAAAACTCACTAAACTTCAGGATTGACAACGTGAAGCAGGAAAGGAACCAAGGGAGTCACATGCTCAACATTATCTTATACTTTTCATATTTGATTATAAGGGCATTGATAACATAATTTGTGCTTCAATCATGCCTTAGCTTATTGATTTGTCATTATCTCTATACTCTCTAGTCCTAAATGGAACTTTTAGATCAGAAGTTGCAACGGCCGGCGTCGTGCATGCCAGATCATAATACTGCCCAACCACAATAATACATTAGGAAAATGGATATTCCATAAAAACATTTATCTCAACGTAATAACACATTAATAGAAATAAATTTCTGAAGTTTGACAATCATATAGTCAATTACGTTGAAAATGGTGCACATTGGATTGATTATGATTGTGACCAAATTGAAATAGTGTCATAATCAGATCAAAATTAATCAACAAATGTACCCATTTTTCACACACGGACTCAGTCAATTTTTGGATATTTTCATCTTTTTCTTTGTCAAATGGTCCACCTATATATATACTTGTGACTTATAGCACACAGTTTATCATTATCAATGATCTTATGAGTTGACACTTACTATTCAATATTAAATTAAATTAAATTTGGGGTATCTAATAAAGACTTGAGAAGAAATTTCAACTCAGTTACAATTTATGGATGGAAATTCTAAAAATATTATACATTTAGAAAACTAGAATTCAAACACAATAACAAATATAAAAGTACACAAAATACTTAACCAAACTCATTGACTTGCATGGTAGCTAGCTACCTATATTAATTAATTATGTGGCGCTCAAAGCTTCAGTTTCCCATCTAGACTCTGCACATGGAGAAATTATATTGATCTTAATTATAATAACACTGTATTTGCAAGAACGTGGAGTGAAGATGGTGATAAATGTTAAATAAAAATGAACTTACCGTCGAATTCAATGTTAAGAGATTTGGCAGAGGATTTTGGGATAGCTGTAAATGCAGTCGCAGAAAGGGCAATGGTAGAAGGAGCAGTAGGCCGAGACACTGAAGTTCTAGCATTCCGCAATCTTAACAGTAACAACTTTGCCACCAGGAACACAGCATGAGTTCCACTTGAACTTATCATCTCACACGGTAGTGCGTGCCACAGGCTGCACCATTATCCCTATCCCATCCCCGGCTGCCGCGAATGGCCGTTCGACGGGAACTGTGATTGATCATTGCCGGCACAAGCCGTTGCTGTTTAATTATTATTATCAGTTTAATTTCTAATAGCTGTATATATGCCATGCGGTTTAATTTGTAAAAATGCATCTTACGTAAGTATGGGGGGCCGTACCGAGAAGCAGTGCCAACACCATTACCGCACCATGGGAGAGACGGAAGAATGCTGCTGCTGACAGAAACACAAACAGCCATATATATAGTTGCTGATGCATAGTCATGAATCCTCTGCAAAGCACAGTACTATGTATCTTATGTTCATGAATAATAAGTGAAAGATATACATTCATATATATAATTATATAGAAGAAAACGAAACATGGAAATTCAATTTATAGAAATTTCAAAGCCGATTAATTTGATTTATTTATCACGTTTCTATAGTGTTTTTTGATGTAAACAAATAAAGGGTAATATTTGAATATTTAATATATAATGGGAATAATATTAAGTCTGAAATAAGATTTTAAAACCAAAAAAAAAAAAAAAAAAAAAGATCAGTACTTGGAAGAAATGGATTAGGTTAAATGTAACCATCTTAGGTTAATAGGATTAGGTTAATATTTGTCCTTGTTATCGTTTTATTCCGTCATCTTAGAAGAATTACATGGAACAAACACACTTGATAACTAATGGAAGAATTCGTTGGAATAATTCTAACTCCCAACTGTATCTAACTAAGGCAAACATAAATGTTGCCTTCAAATCTCGGCCGTCTCTTGACATGACCTGATCTTGTTAACTTCCAAACGGACGGTGATTCCATCGGTGACTAGGTTTTTGCCGTCGCCGGCACTTGCTCCATGCAAATTAGATTCTTTTTTTTTTTTTTTTTTTTTTTTATATTTAGAAAAACTTGTTTTTAAGAATCAAAGGTTATTCGATTAATATATGTACTTCTTTTTATTTGTTTATATTGTTCTAAACTGCAGTAAAAATAAACATTGTAGTGTCTGTCATCCTTAATAAAGTATATATATTTTCAATTTTTCATAATGCCCATTAGAATACACAGGTTTGCATGAATAAAGAAAATGGAAGAATGATTGATAAACATAAGATATCTAGTGTAACGAGAGACAAACTAAAAACTAATCATACAATTAATAATTTCGAAAGAGGAGAATGAAGTATACCCTTGATCAAGTTTTCAAAAGGTGAAAGTGCTCTTTCTATTTGATAATTGCCTCAATTAAAATCCAGTTTGTATGCTGCTGCTCGGCTGCGTTCCCCTTGCTCTCTGTTGCTGCTGGTTTTGTGTACTGCTCTCTTGTGTTGATTTCCTTCAGGTTTTTTTACCTATAGGCTCCCCGTGATTTTTTGTTTGCTTCGGGGGTGGGCTGCTTTGTAAAGGATTGTACATCCTTGCTTTTCATTCTTTTGTGCTTCTCCACCTCTGTCCGCGAGCCGTAGTATTAGGTAAGGGTGTTTAGTTCAGAGTATCCTATATTTTTTTAAGGAACTGAAATCAAAACAGATGGTTGCTTGTAATTTGGAACCGGTGCCGAAACTAGTAACAACGGTTTCGGTTCCGGTTCTGGGTATCCTGTAAAATTCATTACCCCCCAAAAATTTTTTAAATGACAAAAAAAAAAAACCTTTAAAAACTTACAAATATCCCCCACTTGACACTTGTTAATAAAAATAAAATTATAAATTCAAAATTATAAACTCCGTTACTTTGTAAAAGTAGATTCTCAAAATTCAAACCAACTTACTTTAAATGTTATGAAATATAAATATAAATGTATTCACATTACTTTTTCTACAAAAGTTTTTATTAACCCCCTACTCTTCAATTTTATTTTATATTAGTCTCGGTTCCCGGTTCCCGGTTCTTGTTCCTAATTGTAGAAATCGAAACTACACAGTGATGGTTCCAAAAATTTGGAACCGGAACCTAACTGTTGACGGCCGATTCTGGGTAGGAACCGGAACCAAACCCTAGGTACCCACCAGTTCTGATTCCAATCGGTTCTTTTGAGCACCCCTAGTATTAGGGGTACTTGTCCCATTTATGTGTCATTCATTATTCTTGATAAAATTACTATTTATCGGAAAAAAGTCTAGTTTGTATGATGGTATTATATATATTAGAGTACAAGTTAAAATTTTGTTAGAACAATAATATTAGATGTACAAACAATTCAAATAAATTTACTTATTTGATAATACATTTATGGTTTCTTATATGTATAAGTTATCTTTTTATTAATTGGAGGGTTTATTTTTCTACTCATTTTCTCGTACGAGCTTTAACACAAAATTAGTTCATTCTTGTTGTCAAGGGTTTGATTGACATTTGACACAAGAGTTTTATAAATATAATTATATTTTAATTATTAATTAATTCAATATCGTTAATTGAGATCATCATTTTATAAGCAGAAAATCATAAAATAATTTCTCTAGATTAGGATTTAATTTAGGGAATCATGTGCTCAACAATATCACAATTTGTGGCTTCAATCATGCCGTCTGGATTTGTTGACCAAATCATTTTTCCCGTCATTCTCACATGCAACGGCGGCGTCGTGCATGCATGGTTGGCAGGTAATACGGCTCAACCACAAAAAAAAACAAATAATAATAATATTTTTAAATAAAATTATATATATGCAATGAACATGAAAGTCTAAACAAAAAAAAAAAAACCTAACTTGTTGACTCGTAGAATGATAGGTAGAAAGGTTGTAGAACAATAATAAATAATTATTTTATTATTTGCGGGAATATTCAATGTTAATAGACTTTGCAGAGGGATTTGCAATGGCCGCAAAAGCTTCATTAGAAAGAACAAAGGTAGCAGGAGCAGTAGGCCGAGACACAGATGTCTGGGCGCGATCAACAACCTTAACCTCAATGGTTTTGCCAGGAATGCATGGTTTGGGAGTACTTCCACTTAAGCATCTCACTAAGTAGATTTTCCCACATATCGCGCCATTATCCCATAATTGTTCCCCCACCGCCGCGAATTGGTTGTCTGTCGGGAACTGTGATCCATCATTCCCGAAACAAGCCGTTGCTGTTCATCAATTAAGCCACAACTGATTTATCAGTTTAAATAGGTGGCAGGCAGCTATGCAGTTTAATTTGTAAAAAAATGGCACTTACGTCTGTATGGGGGACCGTAGCGCGAACCGGTGCCGACGTCGCCATTGGACAGATGGAGGAGCAGGGCAGATAGAAACAGAATTACCCATTTATAAAGTGGCTGACGCGAAGAAGACATAAATGCTCTGGCTCTGCAAAACCCAATCCTATATAGTGAGATTAAATAGATACAAATTTCGCCATATATAAGAAAAGCGAACCATAAAATAGACATCTTTGACTAACTTTTGACAGTTTAAATCAAAAGTAGCATTAATTAATTAATATTATTTTTTAACTTAAAGACAAAGTTGGGTTAACAACATGAAATTAATCGAACAGATCCAATGTCATTCTTAACTAATTTGTATTCTCGTTCTACAGTTCTACTCTATTCCTCGTATGCTCATTTTTGGACCATATTTACGGACAGATATATTTCTCTCTTTCTTATGAAACGGCTGAGTGCCGTCTCCGGCTAATAGAACAGGCCGGGGCCCCCATTAGCTGTTGATTCTAACTCCCAACTGTATCTCATTGAGCCAAATCACTCCAAATAACAGAACAAAACCGTTGACTGCTAATCTTGGCCGTCCACTACTGACTTGACACAAAAGTGCCTAAGGCTCCATTTGGTTTACAATTTTGTGTTTTTGGAAAAAGTTTTTTGAAAAAAATTAAAAAAAAGTTAAATTGAGCGGGCATTACGATGTAGGATTTACAAATTAATAAAATACCCCTTATGTTTATTTTTTTACAAAATACCTCTATAATAAAACATTAAAAATTAACAAAAATACCCCTAACCCACCCTCAAATACGGACAGCTAGCCACCACCGTCGGAGGGTAGTCGGAGTCGCCGTATCGACACATGACCGGCTGGATCTTGCCAGTCGTGCACTGATATGGCCTTTTCTGGCCAGATCCACAATGGATCTGGCCGGCAAAGGCCAGATCTATGGCTAGATCTGGTGGTATTTGCTCGTCAACGACGACCGTTTGTTGGCCTTCATTATCGACTGGTTACGGCCAAAGATCTAGCTGAAAAAGGCTAGATCGGCGCACTACCGGCCAGATTCAGCCGGTAGTGCGCCATCCTACCAAATTCTGATCATTTTCTGGCAATGGTGGCCGGAATCTGGTAAATGTGGATTGTTGGGGTGTTTTTGTAATTTTTTTAACAATATTTAAGGGTATTTAATTAAATTAACAAATTTAGGGGATTTAAAAAAAGTTGAATAATATTGTAAGTTTTTTGTATTTTATTGTTTAACTTTTTTGGGAATACTAAAAGTATTATTCCCAAAATGCAACCAAACGAAGCCTAAGTTTTTGCCTCCCAAATTTGTATTTGTTTCAATATTCTCAAAATCTAATCCTATTTTATTCAACTCAAAACATTAACAATTACCTTTCTCGCAAAAATAACCTAACTCAATTCAACTTCTAAATTACTATTTTAAAAAACATCAGAATAGTGAATCAAACGGAACGTAAATAATTGATTTTAGTGTATGTAATTCCCATTGGAAAATATAGGATTGAATGATTAACAAATAAATCTAAAACATAACATATATTAAACTTTCATCATAATAGTATAAGTAACTACACTAATTAAAAATCTAATCATACAAATTTAAAAAAAAAAAAAAATCGAAAGAGGAAAAGGAATGAATTATACCTTACAAGATTTTCAGGAGTTGAAATGGATTCACCAAAACTACAATTTGTGTGAGGCTATAAACACTATTATATAGCGTGTAATTCCTCTTTCTTTTTCCAAATATAAGTATTTATAATTAGAGTTTAAGCTAAGATTTTGTTAGAATTCTCTAATTAATTAACCGTGAAGCGAAGTATTAGGAAAGTATTAAGGAAATTTCCTAATGTGGGTACTAAATTTCTTAATTATAATTAATTATTGATACTTATTTCTTTAATAATCTATATATGGTTTCTTCTCTTTATGAGGTTTTGTTATGATTAGGCTTAATTTGGCAATAACAGCAAGTTAAATATTGGGCCATATATGGGCTGGCCCATTAATCTCCAAAAAGCCCAAAACTAAGTGGGTTAACAGACTCTGTCAATAATTTTCAGTTTCACTGAGAAAATCAAGCAAATGAAATATTGATGCTTTCAAGTATGCAAATTATGCTTTACTTGTCTCCTCTCAACCTCTCTCTCCAAATTTAATTTTTTTACTATATTTTTGCCCTCAGCCGTTCGCACTTTCTGTCAACTTCTCTAGTCTCGAAGTTTTCTGCAACTTTTCTTGTTTCTCATTATCCAAATTTTGGAACTTTTTTAACCCTCACATTGGCTACCTTTCGTCATTTGATTACAAATTTCAGCTTTGTTCATGCAACTGAGCTCTCAAAGTTTGTTGTTTTTATTGAAATACATCAATTTGGAGAACTGGGTTTACTTTGTTCCACATGGTTCCGGCTTCTACTCAATTCCCATTTGGATTCACTGCTCATTGCAATGGAACATTTGGTTATGAAAAACTGGAGTTTTTAAGCTCTAATTCTTTTCATCAATTGGAAATTTCAAGAATTAAGTTTTGCCCTAGTTCTGTTCCAAAGACTACTCCAAAGGTGTGCTTAGAGTTTCTCCAAATATGTGCACTTATTATATGTTTAATGATTATGCTTAAGATTGGGATGCCATAGTCTTTACGTTAATAACTGTGTCGCAGCATCATCTGCTTTTTTCTTCTGTGTATTTTATGTAGTTTGTTCTGCTGCTAAGAATTTGTAATTACATGTGTAGTAGTGTTTTAATCAAGTTTGGAAGTAGTCGCATCATTTGTTTATGTTCAATGCTTCAACTTTAGTGAGCCTTAAATTATTTTGGGACTGATATATTGAACGACCATAGCCATCATTTCTTGTAGAACATTTTTTTATACATTGTTTAATAGTTCTATATGGAGTTCATTAAAATATAAGATGTTCTCTTGCTCTTAGCTCTGAGCAAACATATTGCTGGAACCAGACGGGAGCTAAATTTCTCATAATGAAATAATTTTTAGGATTCATTTATTGTTATATAGGAAGGTAATTTCTGAATTTTCTTGCTGCAGCCTGCTTTGGTTAGTCGAATATGTTCTCTACCTGATTTTGATGATTTCTTTTGGGAGAAAACTCCTACGCCTATGCTTGATGCAATTGAAAACCCTATCTGCTTGAAGAACTTCACTCTTAAGGTCAGTTTACAACGTTTCTGCTGCTTTTGAATTACTTGTTTCATAATCTCGACAGCTTGTTTACGCACTAAAGGTTGGTCTGTGCAGGAACTGAAACAATTAGCTGATGAAATCCGATCAGAATTGTCTTCTATAATGCCCAAAACCCAAAAATCCTTCAAGGCTAGTTTGGCAGTGGTGGAACTGACAGTTGCATTACACCATGTTTTTCATGCTCCAGTGGATAAGATACTGTGGGATGTTGGGGAACAAGTAAGATAATAACTGATAAAATTCTATACATTGCAGTACTTGGGGCAAAAAGAAGCACAGAACATTGATATATGATCTGCTATTATGCAATTTCTTATCTTTTGTTGGCAGACATTCGCACATAAAATTCTTACTGGGAGGCGGTCTCTCATTCATACCCTGAGACAAAAGGATGGTATTTCTGGCTATACTTCTCGATCTGAGAGTGAATTTGATCCTTTTAGTGCAGGACATGGGTGCAACAGCATCTCTGCTGGACTTGGTAGAATTTCCTTGCCTTCTGTTTTAATTTTCTTCAGATTAAAGAATACCTATCTTAAATAATTTTCATGCTTGCCATCCACCTTTCACATGTTATCTTACATTTTATTTGAATTTGAATTTCATTATTACAAGCTCTTTGTTGTATATTTTGGTGATAATATTATATACATTAGGCTGTTGGCAAACAAGCTTTCTATGTGAAAGTAGTATTTTTATATTGTTATTAATGTCAAACTAACTTGATTAAATTTCTTGATTGGTAAATTTGTTAAAAACAAAAAGGAGGTGCATAATATATACATAAGTGAGCTAGCAAAGATAAATGAGTCTTTCCTCTCTCTTCATTCTAATCTACATTATCATGCTCTGTAATTGAGAAATCAAAATTTTGTTAATCTTTTTTCCTTCAGGAATGGCAATTGCCCGGGATATTAAAGGGAAACGGGAACGCATTGTTACAATCATTGGCAATGGGACAACTATGGCTGGTCAGGTCTACGAGGCAATGAGCAATGCAGGTTACCTGGATTCAAATATGATAGTCATACTAAATGACAGCCGTCATTCTTTACACCCAAAGATTGAAGAGGGCCCCAAGACATCCATTAATGCTCTATCTAGTACCCTAAGCAGGCTCCAGTCAAGTAAATCTTTCCGAAGGTTAAGAGAAGTTGCTAAAGTAAGGTTTCTCGCATCCTTCTTAAAAAATATGAATGTTTTAACACTGAAAAAGGCATATAGGTAGGTTGATGCTAGAAAGACTATCGCACTATCTTCAGTAATAGTTTACCACTTTCTGAGTTAGTCCTGGAGAATGTGGGTAGTCCACTTAGTATGTGAATATTTTTTGTGTATTGTTGGTACTTACTACTCCATAAATTCAAGGCCTTGTGTGGACTTAATATATCCTTGATAATTATTTGGCTGTTAAACTGGTTGGCTTTTTTTCAGGGTGTCACTAAAAGAATTGGCAAGGGTATGCATGAATGGGCTGCCAAAGTTGATGAGTATGCACGTGGTTTGATCGGTCCAGCAGGATCAACTCTTTTTGAAGAGCTTGGGTTGTATTACATAGGCCCTGTTGATGGACACAACATTGAAGACCTAATTTGTGTTCTACAGCAAGTGGCATCTCTAGATTCGATGGGTCCTGTGTTAGTGCATGTGATAACTGAGGAAAACCGGGGTACATTGAATAACCAAAAAAGTGAGATTACGGTGAAGCAGCTGGAAGGTATGTTCACTTCTTTGCCTTTCCCTGGCTTACCCAAGTTCAATTTGTTGGTTGGGGATGGGCCTTGGTCTTAATTGAGGCCATCATTGGAGGTAGAATGATAAAAGTCTTCCTTAGTCTTTGACTATTTAGGGTGTGGGACTATCTATGGACTTTAACAGAACTCATTTCCACTGTATGGGCTCATAGATTTATATCCTGAGAATTGTGGCTTACTGAACATATTAGGATAGAAAAGAATTGGTATTAATTGTTTTCTTTTTCATTTAAAAGGACTTGTCATTCCTGCTGCATAGAGTACTTTGTGCTAAATTATCATGTCCCAACTTTTAAGCATTTCAGAGAGTAAATTTTCACTGCTGCTCTTCTGTTTTGAAGCTTCATGAACCTTTTTTTTATTTTCTTTTTCTCTCACTTCACAGGATCAAGTAACTCAGACTCTTTATTGTTCAATAACAATTCTCGAACATATAGTGATTGCTTAGTGGAAGCGTTGGTTATGGAGGCAGAGAAAGACAAGGATATTGTTTTGGTCCATGCTGGAATGGAAATGGATCCCTCGCTTCAACTGTTTCAGGAAAAATTTCCAGAGAAGTATTTTGATGTTGGAATGGCTGAACAGCATGCTGTTACATTTTCTGCTGGTCTGTCATGTGGAGGCTTGAAGCCATTTTGCATAATTCCTTCTGCTTTTCTGCAGAGAGCTTATGATCAGGTTCTCTCTCTCCCCCACGTGCTATGTGTGTCTGTGAATACTCTGTAAACATTCACCAATTGCATACAAACATGTTGTCTGGGGTCGTTTTGACAGTAATGATGTATTTCAAAATACAATGGCATAGATTGAAACCATGTTTTAGCTTACAACTGGAAATGCATGGCATCCTTCATTGTGAAAATAAAGTTCATAACTTTTCTGGAGTCTTTTCCTTATGGCCTCTTTAGGTGATCCAAGATGTAGATCAACAGAGGATTCCAGTGCGTTTTGTCATTACAAGTGCAGGATTGGTAGGATCTGATGGCCCCACGCAGTGTGGGGCATTTGATATAACTTTCATGTCATGTTTGCCAAACATGATTGTCATGGCACCATCTGATGAGGATGAGCTTGTACACATGGTTGCGACTGCTGCTCAAATTGATGATCGGCCAGTTTGCTTTCGGTATCCAAGGGGCGCCATTGTCAGGACGGACTATCCTATGGTCAGTGGAATTCCAATTGAGGTAATCACTTGGCACCCTTTATTAACTTATCTACTTACTGATCTTATTTCTTCTTAAGCTTTGATGTTTTGTTACTTAGGAAATTGTGTCACTTATTGCATTTTTTTTTAATTAAGAGACGTGGTAATTACATGTTTTACCACCTTATTCTGTATTTTCCCAAATTATTCCTAGTCTCATAAAATAATTTATATCCAAGATTTTGCACATAAGATCTACTATTTGACTTTGCACTTGACAATTAACATTTGCATCTTCCAATATATTACTTATTATTCTTCACTAATCATTTAAAAGTTTTGATTTAATTTGACTACTGTTTGTTGTAGCAGATTGGAAAAGGGAAAGTTCTCGTAGAGGGTAAAGATATTGCTTTGCTTGGGTATGGGGCAATGGTTCAGAACTGCCTCAAAGCTCGAGCCCTTCTTTCGAAGCTTGGCGTTGAGGTAACTGTTGCTGATGCAAGATTTTGCAAGCCCCTCGACATTAAGCTTCTCAGGGAGCTTTGTCAAAACCATGCCTTTCTTGTCACAGTTGAGGAAGGTTCTATTGGAGGATTTGGATCACATGTTTCACAGTTTATTGCTCTTGATGGACAGCTTGATGGGAGAATTAAGGTGCTACTTTTGTTCATACTTATGAAAATTATTATTCTTTGGTAAGAGAGAGAGGTATACACATTAATTATTCGGTTATTATCTTATGGAAGGGGGAGGAAGGCATTTTTTAAAGATGCCAGTAGAACCCTGTGGGAGTAGTCCTTGTACTATGTTATTTACTTCAAATTTATCCGTCTTAAAATTCAAACCAAAAATCTCATTAAACTTAAATTGCTAGGGTGGGGTTACTGGGTTATGTACCATTTACTCTTTCCTTGTAGCTAGTGATTTTTAATGCAGTGCTACTTAAATTGTAATGGTTATACTTCTTGCATGGACAGTAACTGCTTTGGGTAAGTTTTCACTTGCTTTCAATTCTTTTGTCTATTTTTTTTTATCCCAGTGGCGACCAATTGTTTTGCCAAATAACTACATTGAGCATGCATCACCAACTGAACAACTTTCTTTTGCGGGGCTGACTGGACATCACATTGCTGCAACAGCACTAAGTCTGCTCGGCCGCACCCGTGAAGCGCTCCTTTTAATGTGCTAGAAATCTACTCAGTTTCTTCGAAGCCTTCTTGGAACACTGCAGGTTGAAGACTTGAAGCTCTGTAACAGAAAAGATGAGCTGAAAAAAAACAACAGACGGTAGGTAATATGCCGCACCAGATCAGCTGATTTTGGGTACATGTCTTTGTAATCTGTACATTATTGTAATAATTTGATTATTGGTGTTGAAAGTACACAAAATTGTACAGTACTCACAAGATAAAAATACAGATTTGTATTGATACCTTGTATGGTTATACTCATAATCACATAGAACTTCAAACACACTACACTATAGCCAAAATTCACTATATCATCTCTCTTAAGCACGCATACAGGGATAGGTTACTCATGTAGCAATTCCTTAGTTGACAGCTTCCGATGTTGCAGGTAACGTTAGAAGAAGAAGAAGAAGTAAAGTGGGCACTTTGGTGCTAATTCTGGAAATGTATAAGAAGTAAAAGTTAGGCAAAATGCATAAATTTCGAGGCTGGTTGTATTTGCAATGCATTTTGTTAATGGATACACATGTAACTAATGTGCATGCTGTTTAAATACTGTCATGCTCATACAACTGAAGAAGAAGATTTCACGTAAGAAAAACTTGTGTGGTCGAGATGGAAGATGAGGGTTAGGTAAATAAATCCTATGGACTGTCATCCATGTGCATCTGTTATTTGTTGTGTGTTTTTATCATCTTAAAAACAATAAAAGAAACTGAAAATTTTGGCAAGAAATGTTCAGGAGTCGTTGCACATTTAACCAAAATTTCTTCCAACATAACATCAAACAACTCAATTGCTTCATACTCCATCATCTTCATTACCAATTTCAACTAATCTTTTGGATCTTAAAGTTAACGAACGGATATATCCTCCAATGATCATCGGACGGAGGTGAACATCAAATAACTTAATAGCTTCAAACTCCATCACCTTCGTTACCAATCTTTTTCTTTAAATATTCTATTAATAGTATAAGATAACCTGTATTCACATCAAACAAATTAAGAATGCTTTATCCAGAACCATTAACCACAAGATGTAATTAGCAAAATTTGGAACTCAAAACAAACTTCATACGGACCAAAAAAATGTCAACGTAGTTGAGTTTGTTACAGACAGACATTGAGTCGATCCCGCGGACTACTAAAACCAATATCATCCAGCCACTTGGTGAAACCTCCCAAACTTTGGGGCCTCACGTTTAGATTGAGCTTACTGGAATTTGTATGTGTGGGCACCCATAAACCCCGCCCAGTTTTTTCTTCACTAAAACTCGCGCACACAGACAAACGAAACTCTTTTTCTTCAGATCAAATAACAACGAGAACAAGTTTGTTTCAAAGATATATAAAATCCTTTCCCACATTCCAAATCTCCCGGCCTTCTTTATATTGCTCCGGCGCCGGGAGACTTCATTCCCTTTCCTTTTTTTTCTTTGATCATTTTTTTTCTTAAGACGTTTATACGTAAAAGGGCTAAGGTGGGTTCTCTTTCTTTGTCAAGAATAATTGTTGGTTTTGATTTATAATTTTGTCCAGATATTTACGTGCATGCACGTTAAAAATTGCTGGGTTTCTGTTCTTTAACCATTTTGAATATGTTGTTTCTAAAGAAATGGAAAAGGTACATATCGGTTATATGAAGACTGGAATTTTTTTTTTTTTTTTTTTATTTCTGGTTTCCTTAAAGATAAAACAGGGTGATTACTGATAACCTTAATGTTCTGTTTCAATTTGTTTTTAGAAAAATGTTGTGAACGTTAAGTTTCTCCTTTACTTACAGCAAGATTCCATAAACGGTTACATCCGTCAGGCGAGCTGTTCTGCTCATTGTCATATAACGTTAGAAATGCATTTTGTGAAATCATCTTTTGGTTCTGTCATATCCAAACAGGGGATTCAATTGCAGAATTCTTAGAAAATAAACTTATAAAAAATAAGAAAGAAAAACTCTGACACAAAGCTTTGCATTAATCTTATGGAGGATTCTGCTTATGGTTTTATTATTAACTTATAAAATAGTCAGTCATATCACATGTATCCCACTCTTTTGAAACATTTTCCCCCTCTTTCCCTGTAAACGAAAGTTAATATTTGTCATAGTATCTTTCATCGGCTATGGATAGCCGCAGAACTCCATTCAAGGGAATAAGCAAAGATGTTAAAGGAAGGCTTGCTTGCTATAAACAAGACTGGATGGGTGCACTTGGTTCAGGCGTGAGGTATTTTTGTAACCAATAATAATTTATTAGAAATTGCATTTTTTTTCCTTGTGGGCACCTATATATAAATTCAACTCATGGTTTTTTAAATCTGTATCAGGATATTGGCTCCCACAACCTACATCTTCTTTGCCTCTGCTCTTCCTGTAATTGCCTTTGGAGAACAATTATACAGAGAGACAGGTACATACATAGAACTTTTCTTTTCCTGAAACATTCTATCAATTAAAGCTGGATTTTAGATTCTCAAAGTTACAGTAATTAATGTCTTTGATTTGTTCTAAAACTAAGCTGACATTCATGAAGTAGAAGTTACTTAAATGTCAGTATCTTTGGCGATAAGGAAACTATTGATTCTGAATATTTAGTTGATGTTTAATGTTTACCTTTTTTTACACCTTATATTAGATGGAAGCCTGAGCACAGTAGAAACTTTAGCTTCTACCGCTATATGTGGAATCATCCACTCAATTTTTGGTGGCCAGCCCTTGTTGATATTAGGAGTTGCAGAACCAACAGTTATAATGTACACTTATTTGTACGATTTCAGCAAAGGAAGGCAAGAATTGGGACGGGAGCTGTTTTTAGCTTGGGCCGGTTGGTGAGGGAATCGATCACTTCTTTTTCTAATATGTGTTCATTTATCTTTTTGTAAGGGATGATTGTTCTTAATATGTCTTCATTTATTTGTTCCATAGGGTTTGTGTATGGACAGCAATTTTGCTCTTCCTTCTTGCAATATTCAATGCCTGCAGCATCATCACTAGATTTACCAGAGTTGCAGGGGAACTTTTTGGCATGTTGATAGCTGTTCTTTTTATTCAAGAGGCTATTAAGGTACTGATCTATCTGTACTAATAAATTAATGAAGCTGTGAATTTCTGAAAATAGCTGTGAATTTCTGAATATATTGTGATTAATCTTTTGTTTTCTAAATCACAGGGAGTTATTGGTGAATTTAGTATTCCTGAAGCTGAAGACCCTAAATTGGAGAAGTATAACTTCCCGTGGTTGTACACAAATGGGCTGCTTTCTATCATTTTCTCAGTCGGTCTACTATTAACTGCGCTCAAAAGCAGACAGGCAAGATCATGGCGTTACTGGACAGGTGAGTAACTAACTTGATCATTGTAGCCAGGGATTGTTGTCCTGGGATCTAAGTAACTTTATTTAATTTCTTTGATGGTACAGGCTGCCTCCGCGGCTTTACTGCAGACTATGGGGTTCCCCTCATGGTGGTGTTGTGGACGGCATTGTCTTACAGTGTTCCTGGCAAAGTCCCTTCAGGAGTTCCCAGGAGGTTGTTTGGTCCACTTCCCTGGGACTCTACATCATTGTCCCATTGGACAGTAATCAAGGTATGGATTGTGCAAGACTTGAATGATTTTGTTGTTTTTACTTCTAGAAAATTTCACAAGCTCGTATTTGGGGGTCATAACCGCACCGCATATAGGCCTAAAATTTCTCAGGTTGTTAATTTCTTAGATTAATATGTGAATAAGAAACTTCAAGTTAATAGAAGCAAAAGGTTTTGTTTTAAATGTAAAAACTTTGTGATTGTGTATCTAATGATGTTTTCAAACGCTCAAATTACAGGATATGCCCAAGGTTCCTGGATTATACATCTTTGCAGCCTTTATACCAGCAGTGATGATAGCAGGTCTATACTTTTTTGACCACAGTGTAGCTTCGCAAATGGCGCAGCAGAAGGAGTTTAATCTCAGAAACCCCTCTGCTTATCATTACGATATCCTGTTGCTTGGAATCATGGTATTCATATGATAGATTAATTTTTTCTTTCCAAGTTATATCTCCCAATCAATATTTCATATAGAATTTAGTCTCAATGTGCTGCATATTGTGATGGTTTCAGACTTTGATTTGTGGGTTTCTTGGACTCCCTCCTTCAAATGGGGTACTCCCACAGTCCCCCATGCACACAAAAAGTCTTGCAGTTCTCAAGAGGCAGGTGGGGTGTAACTTCTGAAGGAAAATTTATTTTCTTTATTTGTGTCAAAGCAAAATCAGTTTAAACTCTTAGACCAGATGCTTGTGATTTTCAGCAAATACGGAAGAAAATGGTGAAGAGTGCAAAGGAGTGCATAAAACGAGAAGCAAACAACTTAGAAATTTATAGAAGGATGCAGGCTATCTTTATAGAAATGGATGCCTCTCCAACTCAATCAGAGTTGCAGCAAACTTCTTCAGTAGCTAAAGAATTGGAGAACTTAAAGGAGGCTGTGATGAAAGGTGATGATGGAGCAAATGAAAAAGGAAAATTTGATCCAGAGAAACACATTGATGCCTACTTGCCTGTTAGAGTTAATGAGCAAAGAGTTAGCAACATGTTACAGTCATTACTTGTAGGTCTATCAGTGTTTGCTCTGCCCATAATCAATATGATACCTACCTCAGTTCTTTGGGGTTACTTTGCCTACATGGCCATCGACAGTCTACCAGGTAATCAGTTCTGGGAAAGGATAGTGCTGCTTTTCATCACCCCTGATCGATGTTACAAGTAAGTCATGCACCTGAGAATAAGATACATGCTTTTATAATTTATAAAACACAATGCCTTGCCATTCATTTGATATGCCAAAATTCAATTATTTCCCTCCTAATTTTGATTATTTTCTGTTGGCTTGGAATTTGGCAGAGTTCTGGAGGGTGTTCATGCTTCATTTGTGGAGTTGGTACCATTCAAATATATTGCTTACTTTACACTCTTCCAAATTGTATATTTTCTGGTTTGTTTCGGGATAACATGGATACCTATAGCTGGAATATTGTTCCCCCTCCCATTCTTCCTTCTCATCAGCATAAGACAGCACATCCTTCCAAAGTTTTTCCACCCTAGTCATCTTCGGGAACTGGATGCTGCTGAATATGAAGAAATTGCTGGAGCTCCAAAGCTTCACCGCTGTCTCTCACCCAAGGTACGTTTCCTTACCTTTCTCTATAGATGAATGTTGGGTTCTAGGGTCATTATCCAAGATGACTATGAAGTTATCCAATTTCAATTAATTGGGCTGTTTATGATTGCTTTATTGAAAATCCTTTTGGTGTTCTTGTCATTTATTTCTTCGATTATTCTGCTTGTTTCTTTGCAAATCTTTCCACTCATAGGCATGGTAAATTGTGTGTAGGATAATGAAACACCTGACAGTGGAATAATAGACAATGAAAATGAATTCTATGATGCTGAAATATTGGATGAGATGACAACAAGCAGAGGTGAACTAAAGCATAGAAGTTATAAAGAAGAAAGGTTCTTCCAGGTAAAAGCAATTAATCTCCTTCTTGTTGGGTACTGTAATGATTTGTCAAAAGTTTCTAGTTAATGCATGTTCATGCTAGAATATGCATGGTCTGCAGGTACATCCAGAAGATGCTGTCAGGTCAGAACAAAAACCAAAGGGATGATCAGGATATACAATAAGCTCATTATGATGATACCAATGATATTTTATCAACCAGATAAAAACCATGCTCCTTAGAGAGGATTGAGGGATCTCTTTTAGTGAATCAATCTACAAGACACAGAAAAGAAAATAATTTCAGTTGAAGAAAATCTACCATACTTAGATTCGGTTATAATACAAGAAAGAAATAGGGACAAGAATTTTGAATGCATTGGTTAAATTTTTTTTAGTTGGGAACACCAATGAATGTCAGCAGCAGGGCTTGATAACACCCTTCAGTCAGCTTTGCTCATATTCTTATTAGCAATTCAAGGGACAAGAAAGGGAGTGAGATGGGAGCAGGGAGGAAGTAGATATGTGAAGAGATATAGACCGAAAGATTTAGATATAGTGTATTCCATTTTCAGGCACAGTTTCTGCTACTTGTATTTACTTTTTCCAAGAGAAAAATAAACCATCTGTTTCAATTTCCCTTTTTTTTTATTTTTATTTTGGGTGACTAGGGATGTCCAGGTCAACTTGCACGTACCTTAACTAATCCTCCAAGGCCTTGAAGTTGACAGTCGGGAAAATCCCCTCAATGGACACCCTTATTAACAAGTAGCAACCAAGGTGGATCGAACCTAGGATCTCTTAAGTAACACACCCAGAAGTCCTAGTTGACTACTGGGCCATCCAATGGTGGTTGATTGGTTTTACATTTTGGTTGGAGTAAATTTTCTAACAAAAATTCGTAGGAACACATTCAAGTTACATGTTTAGCTTTATTTGTCATGTTTTTATATTTCCAGTGTCTGTTCTAATATCATTAAAGAATCTTGCAATGCTAAGCAACAAGAAATCATTCTCTTGCTTCTAATTTGAAAGGAAGCAATGTAGTTGCCAAACTTCTGAATATTTTTTTGGAGAAGTAAAGATAAGCAACCTATAATACTATTAACATCACATTGCAGTAATATTTTGAAGGAAAAGGAAAATCAAGTCTGTTGTCCCCAAGCCCCCTTTGTATGAACAATTTCCTGAAACTCCATTACGGTAAAAAATGTCAAATAACTTTTGGAATTGAATCACTTATCTACTCCTATATTCTCCCATTTACATCTTTTTGTATCATCACCTCATTATGATCCCATTATAGTTGAAATCAAAAGGTAAGACACCCATCTTTGAGCTTCCTCTAAGTTCAGATTTTGTAAGTGGCACTTGGCTTGAAAACTTTAGGACCCGCTATGATCTTACTGCTTGGCTCTTCAGCCTTTGGTTCTAGAATGTCACTGACAGAGTAGATGATCACCATCTCTGATAAGGTCTATATCATCAATTTCGCACCTTCTGTTAGAATTTTATGGGAAAGAAACCAAATTTTTGGCACCAAATTGAGTAATTCTTCGTGATTTGGCATGGAACAGTTTCCAGCAACTTCAGTTTTCTGGGCAACTAATAGTCACTCTAGCTGGATAACTGCTTGAAGTTGGGAAACAGAAAATCCTCCGAGCATGCTGCCGATCCTTCTCAGCTGCAAAATTAAAATTTTGGCTTATTTCAATATAAACTATTTTGTTTTTTTTTTGTGTGTGGCCATTAATTATTTCATGTATTTCTCAATCCTAATAAACTATGTCTAGTGACTTCTGTGTTTGTGCTCCTTTCTTCTCTGCTTTCATTGTCACCCAATAATTTTTTATTGTTTTGACATGTTCAAAAACACTACAACTTCTGAATGCCTCATTAAATACTTTGCCGTGGCAAAATCAAAGAAAGAACTGGATGCTCACCAGTATTGGCAGCTGTAAACCAAACAGTGAATTCTGAAAATGGTTATTTCTTCGTCCCAGTGACATCAGATCTGGGACCTTAGAAACGTGGTATAAATTCAGGACAAAATGGACCTATTGAGGGCTCACTACTATACTTCACAATATGCTCCCAATATGGCAACCCCGGCTCCTTTGGAATAGAAAAACGGTGATTTCTGGGTTTGTTGCCTATCGTTAACAAAATCTGTATATCTTCAAGGCCCTGGTGATCTGCCAAAGCCCTTGGAGTCCAACCATGGATATCTGGCTTATCGATGTTAGCTCCTTATCTATGAGAAACTTACTATTTCAACATTTCCTTCACTGATTGCTTTATGAAGTGGAGTCGTCCCATTCCTATTCGGTCGTGTTAAATCTCCTCATGACAAACAATGTCCTTGAGTAAATCCAAATTGTTTTGCTCAATTGCAGTGCAAGCAAATTGACCAACATCTCCAGAATATCATTGCCCCACTTTCTGCAAGAATTTTAACCACAGATTCTGCTCCCTAATACGCTTCCCATAAAGGAACTTCCTTCTAAATCTGTAAAAAGTAAAGCCACAAATTTTACATTGCCTTTAATAGTGAAGAAACCATGTTCGCATAAAAATAGTCTATTAAATCATCACACACATCCTTTTGTGGCGCAGTATACATAGTTCTTACACTACTGTGCTAGAACAAACCTTTGTGTTAGGATCTGCTCCATACTCAAGAAGTAGCACTATACAATGCCCATATCCTTTAGATGCTGCAATGTGCTATTCAGAGAGAACCAAAGTAAGCTCTAAGCCTGGGATGGATAAGGATGATACTCACACAGAGATACATAGAGGAGGAAATAAGATACCAATGCTGTTCGCCCACTGTTATCCAATCATTTGGATCTGAACCTCGCTCCGCAACGGTTGTAACAATAATCATCTCCTCTAACTGCGGCAAAGCTAGACTAAGAGGCAAATCCATTCTGCCTTGAGCCATCTTGTTCAGTATCTGTCAAATTGGTTGCATCATTGGATCCCCCGAATCTTTCAAATGCTGTATTAACAGTATGGAAGATAAATTAGATCAAAATCCATCAATATGGAGAATTAACCCATTTTGTACTATAAACGTAGTCAACATTATAGGTTGTTTTCATTTTGAAGGGAACTCAAGAGGGGAACATCATTGCCTTTTAGATTAGGCCTTTCTATTATAATCTGATTGAAACATTTTTACCACCAGTTTCGTGGGAATCGCTATATGGCTTCGACAACAAAATGCTTTTCAATTTTAGAACACAGCAGATAGAAAGAAATCAAGCTCAAAAGAAACTACCTAACTTCACCGTACATCAAAATTTACCAATTTAACCAAATGTGCAGTCTTTTTAGCCATAAAAGGGTAAATGGCACTAAAAGATTGTCATAAAGCAAGAAAATGTGCATGACAATAAATCTGTGTAGATAATTGTTTTTGGAAGTCCTGATTGCTAGATATTGTCTGGTCAGCCCAGGAAAGCGAAAGGAATAACTAATCAAACATAACGCTGCCAAAAAATATAACAACCTGAAGAAGATTGTTCATTATTATTGTCCCATCTCCAACATTTGCCTGAGAAGATTTAGAAAAGCAGTACGGTTCAGACGAAGCAGCTGGCTCAATCGTTTAGTTCGGACTGTGAATAATTGGGGCCTATAACACAACAGACCAACCTCCCCAACAACATCTCCTGTTTTTTGCCTCTGCAACAACCTACTTCATCATTGCAACAGAATTTACATGTGATGGCAAATAGACTCTAGCATTTTCTTTTCCAAAACAATCAAACTAATTTAAACGGTAGAAATTATCCTGAAGATTTGTATCGTTGCTTACCTGTTCTATTCCACCCTTTCGCGTGATAAGATCCTGTTAAATAAACACATAAGTAATCAAAATTCCTAGCTAATGACGACACTTGAAAGGGAAATCACAGAATGATACAAAAGCGTATTTTTTATGAGTAGATTGATGGAATGAGATTCAGCTTATTCACTTTTTTCTCTAAAATGTTCTTTAATAAAGAAAACAGGGGAGCACACAAAGGACAAAAATCAAATAGATTCTTCTGCAGCACCAGTGCAAAAAATATGAAGTCATTGGGTGCTTCATTCTGCAAAATTACATCTCTCTGGGAGGAAAATACTCGCTTTCATCTCTTACCTTCAAAATAATAAAATTCAGACATTAAGCTTAAAAAACAAAAAGGGCCAACTTTAAATTGAGAGTTTATCTGTATGAATGTGCATTTTGTAGTCTTGCGGTAGATAATACTTCCTATTGAATGTTTAACTGTAAAATATGCATTCTTCCTACTTAAAATGTGATATTAGCTTTACCAGTTGGAAAAGTAAGTCGTTTGAGACTCCACGGAACAAGTAAACCTGATCCTAGTGAATAAAAAGAAAGTGTGAAATGCTTGTTGAATGGCTTTAGGGGGATTCATGGTCTCTTGCTGGTCAGCCCTTCTGAATCAGTTCTGTACCTCAAACACAAATGAGAAAGCATCTGACTTGCAGCCGAACAGGTAGTTGGTTCCTTTTTGCAAAACTCGAAGCAGCTTGGTTGTGTCCCTCTAAATCAAACCCAAAACAAACTCAAATCAGAACTACCCAATATAGATGAAAGCAGATAATTCTAACCACCCTTCAATATTAGCAGCAAATATTCCATATATTACGCTCAAACATTACTCCTAGAAATAGTCCCATCATTCTGGTACAACATTATCAGAAAGAACATCCACAGCAAAAAGGATTCTCCGCAAGCAATTTTACAAAAGAAATAATAAATTTGTAGGAGGAAAAATGGCAAGTAAAATAATACAAGATAGATTTACTCACAATTGTCTTGTGCGACTGGTCCCATGATGACGAGGTTGTTCATATTACCAAGCAAGTATGATAACAGGCCAAGATTAAGGAACATGTAGAATATGTCGAACAGCCTTTCCCTTGTATTGCAGGATGGATATCACCATAACCAGTAGTTTGTAAATGTGGTTATGGACCAGTAAATGGACGTAACATACTTGACCCGCAAACTCGTTTGTTTAAATTTTCCCAAGGTTTGTCCATCCATGTGCGGTCTGGCTCTGGATAGTTCTCGGCAAGAAAATAGAAGAAGCACGCACACAATGAACTACAAAGAGAGTCACCTACAAGTTACCCCAAGCCTAG